CGCCCACGTCCCGAGCTGTTCCGAGCCCCCCCGCCCCCCGCGGGACGGAGCGAAGCGCCAGCCGTCCGCAAGGCATGGCGTGCCGCCAGGGCCGTCGCCGCGACACGCTATCCAAGAGTTCCTGACCGTTGGGGGGCGGTTACAGTCCGGCGGCCTAACCGACCCCCCGCAGTTAAACCATCCCCTTCCGTGACGTCCCCCTCGCCTCGCCCCAGGGCGTATGTGTGTGGCCGGAGCGAAGCTTGAACGGCAAGGGTGACGCCACGGAGGGGGATGGCGTGCTGGGGGCCGGTCAGGCCTCGCCCGATTGAGGGCAGAGGTCCTGGAGAGCTCGTCGCACCTCGGCTGCCTCTCAGCCTCGGGGTGCTCTCCAGCAGCTGCGCCCCGACGCCGAGTGCTAGAAGGAGGAGGACGAGGAGGAGGAAGAGGAGGAGGAGGAGGAGGAGGAGCAGGAGGAGGAGGAGGAGGAGGACGAGGACGAAGACGAGGAGGAGGAGGAGGAAGAGGAGGAGGAAGAGGAGGAGGAGGAGGAGGAGGAGGAGGAGGAGGAGGAGGAGGAGGAGAGGGAGGAACTGCAGTCTATCCCCAATCGCCTATGGATCGCTGGTGGGGGCCCACCGCGATCTGGGCGTACCCGGATCGTCCCGAACGGCCGCCGGAGGCCCGAGTTGGGGCCCGAGAACCACCAGGGCCGTGGCTGGGCTGACGGGGGCAAGCACCGATCCCCAACCGCCCATGGATCGCTGATAGTGGCCCGGGGGCCCACCCTGCCCAGGGCTCTGCGGTTTTGCTATCGGGGGTCTGTCGCCGATCTGTTGGCGGTGCACCGCCGACTCCGAGTCGATGTCTGAGCCAGTCGCCCCTGTCGCCATTCCCCCTCAAGGTCGGGTCCGAGCCAGGCGGCTTTGTGCCCGGCCTCGAGTTCTCCGGCGTGGTCGAGGAGGCTCCGGGCGGTGCCAAGGGGGCAGGGTGGGTTGCCACCAGGGGGGCTCGCCAGCTCCTGAGATCTGAGCATGGACGATTGAGGAGGTCTTCGCTAGCTTCTCTTCAGAGCTGTTCTGGGGGTTCTGGGAAGGCTTTCGGATGGGGGCCATGCGGGTCCTCCCTGAGATCCGTCGTTGCGAAACATTTGCGACATTGCCTAAGTCACGGCTGGAGCCCTAGTTCACATCTTTCTGATTCATTTTTCGAGCCGGTCCAATTTATGATGGTCCCGGGGACCCAAACCGAAGGAAAGCCCACACCGTGAACCAAATGCAATTCCCGGATCTCAGCGCTTCTTGATGAGGAGGTGGCGACGCCCTTGCGGTGACCCCCACGGCGTATATTTATACATCTATAGAAGGGTCCTTGAATGAATGTGCTTCTGAGTGAGTTTAAGAATCCGCTGTTGAGTGAATTCCAGTTGAGTTCGAAAGCCCGATCCATATACGATGCCAGGTCGAGGTTTCACAGCCCGCCCTTCCTCCCGAGATATGATGGGTACCAGGTCCCAGCCCCCCCAGATGGGATGGGGGGGATGTCGACGCCGCCGCCGACGCCAACGCCGCCAACGCCGACGGACGACGATGACGATGACGACGACGACGACGACGACGACGACGACGACGACGACGACGACGACGACGACGACGACGACGACGACGGTGGGCGGGGGAAGGGGGGGCAACCCTGGAATCAGTGCGAAGATCCCCACACAGTGCTTGCACTTACGTAAGGGGTCTTAATCCGTTTTTAGGGAACTGGGCTCGTTCGCGGCCCCAGCGGACTCGTTCCCGTCCGTCGCCGCACCATTTGTCCTAACAGAAGGCCCGTTGGCGGTGGCCCCTTTCCCGCCCGTCGCAGAGCACTACAAGGCATTTGCAAGCAATGCAAATCAATGCAAAGCAAGTCAAAGCAACGCAGGGAAACGCAACGCAGAGCAATGCCCTGTGATTTCAACGCAACGCAACGCAGTGCCACTACAAAGCAATGCAATGCGGGGTGCAACGCGTCGGCGGCGACGGACGAGAACGGGGCCGCCTGGGGCCGGCAACGGTTCTTCTACCAGGAGCAATGACGCGGCGACGGACGGCAACGGGGCCGCCGGGGCCGCGAACGAGCCCAGTTCCTTAGAAGCGACTTATGTGACCCCAAGTGCACGCACTCTTACATAGGGGGGGGAGTGAGAGGGGGGCAGCCTTCTCGGAAGGCTCGGAGGTGCCACGGCCCTTCTTGGGCAGTTTCCCAGGCCTCCTCCGGAGGCGCTGATAGCTCTTTCGGGAGGCCAGAGGGGCTTCTGAGCAGCCCCGCCGCCTTCTGAGGAGGCCTTCTCCGTCTCCCTTGGGCGGCGCGAGACGAGGGGGTCGACCGCGCCGGCACTGGCGCGCAAGCTGCCCGCGTGAGGCCGCGCGTGGGGCCCCTCGCCTTCGGGCGGCGTGCCGCGCTGGCGGCCCGCGCAGGCCCCCGCGCGTGGTCGCTGTGTCCTCTCGCGCGAGGCCCGTTGCCGAGCGTCGCTCGCTTGGCCGTGGCATGCCTGGCATCGCTCGGAGGTGTGCCTTTTTTTCTCGGCGAGGACCCTCGAGGAACAGCCTGGACCCTCGAGCGGACCAACCGCGCGCGAAACCGAAAAAAAAACACGGGGAATGGACGTCCGAGCGACGGCTGTGGCATGCCCTGCCCCGAGCAGACGCGTGCGGCGGCTGCCCGCGGAGGTGGGCGGCGAGCCGGGGCGGCCCCGAGCGGTGCGCGCGCACGGCGGCCAGCTGTGCGAGCTCGCGGAGGAGGTGTGGGAGCTCGCGCGGGCGGCCGCGCTCGGGCTGAGGCCAGGGAGTGCCACCGTCAATCATCCTCGTCGTCGTCTTCATCGTCACCCTCGCCGTGGTCGTCGTCGTCCTCGTCCTGTGGGGGGCACGCTTGGGCGGCCGCGCCCGAGGAGCCCAGGCCAGGGAGTGCCATCGTCATCGTCGTCTGCGTCGATCTCATCGCCATCGCCATCGTCGTCCTCATCCTCATCGTGTGGGAGCTCGCTCGCGCGGCCGCGCTCGATTTGAGGCCAGGGCATGCCAGACCTCGTTTCTTAGCGGACTCAGAAGACTGGTGTTTGATGGAAGGCAAGAAACCGCCGAGTGCATTGAACAAAGATTTGTGATGGTCTTCAAGTGCTGAAATCTCAATCCGGCTTCTGAATCAATTCCTTCCACAACGCGTATGACGGTTTTGCCATGAGTTCCAGTCTCGTTCGAGGAGGGATGGGCACTGATAACTCTACCCGCCCCTTGACTTGTCACCTTTTTTGGGCCGGGCCTCCTTCGAGGCCCTCGTCGCCCCGGCTGGATCCGCCTCGAGATTCTGGTCAGAGAGCACCTCCCCTAAGATCCGACGCTCCAAAAAAAATTGGAGCGGCGGGATTTGGACCGTTTTCGGCCTCCGGGGGCCCTCGCCGGGCCTCGGGAGCGCCATGAAACGATCCGGGACGGAAAACCGGTCCCGGGGAAGTGGTCCGGACCTTCTGGGTCCACGCTCCAAAAAAAACTTGGAGCAGACAGATGTCTGGGCCAGAATCCGAGGCCCGAAAAGCATCACTTCACTAATTTTGGGCCCCAGGGCCCACTGAGGCCCTAGGGGCCCCAGATCAGTGAAGTGGTGTTTTTTCCCACGTGAGGACCCCGAAATTCATCACTTCACCAAACCGAGCCCAGGCCGAAAGTCAGGGGCCGAATTGCTGCTGTGATGCCACATCGGCCTCGTACAGGAGGCGCGTAGTACCTGTTCGTGCCCCCCGGTGCGGTGGCCGCACCGTCAGGCGAGCCAGCGGGCATCCCACAGGCGGCCGCACTCTCTGGGGGGGGCGGGGCCGCCCTCCGATCGGACGTCTCGGGCCTCGGGGCGATTGGGGGAGCTCCCAAAGGTTCCGCGGCGGTGCGGAGACGGACCGGCGCGGTGAGGTGCTTCCCTCCTCCTCCTCCTCCTCCTCCTCCTCCTCCTTCTCCTCCCCCTCCTCCTCCCCCTCCTCCTCCTCCTCCTCCTCTCCTCCTCCTCCCCTCCTCCTCCTCCTCCTCCTCCCTCCTCCTCCTCCCTCCTCCTCCTCCCCCCTCCTCCTCTCCTCCTCCTCCTCCTCCTCCTCCTCCTCCTCCTCCTCCTCCTCTTCCTCGTCCTCCTCCTCCTCCTTCCCCGAGCCCAACCCCGTCCATTTTTCAGCATCCCGACAGTTCCCCAATCAGTGTTTGCAATGAAGGGGCCCGGAAGCTGAAAGACTTGGCGAACGTTTCCCGCCGATCTTGGTAGCAGGCTGGGTTCCCAGCTTCCCGGTTCCGGGTTCCCGGGCTGCCGGCCATTGGTTCCGGGCCGATTTCGGTGGGTTCTGGGTTCCCGGGCTCCCGGGTTCCCAGTCGATCTCTTCAGCGCGCTGAAGAGATCGCGGATGGTTTTCGCGAAAACCATCCGCGATGGTTTCGCGAAAACCATCGGTTTTCGCGAACCCCAATCATTGGATGGTTTTTGCGAAAACCATCCAATGATTTGGGTTTTTCTCTGGTTTGCTTGTCAGGATTTCTGAGTTGTTTTGGAGAATATATAGGCCTGCGCCGCCTGGCTTTCTTCGGGTGGCCCAGTTGCCCGGTGGCCCGGGTGGTCCATGGTTGCCTGGTTGCCCCATGTTGCCTGGGTTGCCCGACTGCCCATAGGTTGCCCCGAGTGCCGGGTTGCCCGCCTGGTTGCCCAGGCTTCTTCGGGTTGACCCGTTGCCCAGGTGGCCCAGTTGTCCGGATGCTAAGGAATGCAAGGCAGCGCCAAGCAATGTCAAGCATTGCAAAAATTAACGCGAAACAGTGACAAGCAGCACCGAGCAATGCCGAGCAATACCAAGCAACGCCAAGAATTACCAAACAATGCCAAACAACGCCTAACAATGCAAATCAATGCCAAGCAATGCTTTCCTTGCCTTTCTAGGTCGTTTAATTTTTCGAGGTTACCACGGGGTCAGTCATCGGACCGGACTGTTTTTCGGCACTCCCACTGAGGCCTGGGGACCGCGTCATGGGGTGCCTGCGCTTCGGCGCCTACGCCAGCCACGTGAACGTCCCAGCCCACCAGGTTCGCAAGATCCCCCTGGACTGGTCCTTTGCCCAGGGGGCAGCCTTCCTGGTGCAGTCGCTGACCGAGGCCGGCTCAAGAAGCCACGCGGGGTGGGCCGCAGGTTCAGGCCGGGTCGGGGCGGCGGTGACCCCCAGCGTGGGCGGTCAGGGTCGAATGCGGCCAGTGGCCCAGGCCTGGCTGGTGTCGAACGGGTCTGAGCTCTCGGACAGCCCCGATCGCTCCAGGTTGAGCGACTCATCAAGCAGTGGCGAAGCGTCCTGGCTCGCCTATAGCCCTACCAAAGAATGTTCCAAAAACCTTTTGTGGTTTGCACGAAATGTTAGTAGAACATTTCTGGTCGAGTCTGTCTTGTTTAATCACATCGGGTTCATGTTCTAAGAACATTGTTGTGGTTATCAGAACATTTTTGGGTTCTAAGAACATTTCGTGGTAGGACTATAGGAATGCCGGGACGGTCGGTCCCTGCTCAAACTTACGCAGTGTCAGGAACCAGCGCATGAGAAACCTTCACGACGCGATCTTGCCGCAGCTACTAGTGGGATTGGGCCTCCTGCTCTCCCCCCTGCTCCCTTCACGTTGGCCGACGGGGAGGAGGTAAGGGGGGGAGGGGGGGTGCCAAGCTAGGCGCGCTCGCGGCATATCTGACATCCTACCCCTCCCACCCATTCACTCCCATTGCATTGATTTTTCTCCAGTCGGCGAGGGGTGTCATAGCGGACCTGGAACCCTCAAAGCATCCCATCGTGTTATGCGCAGTCAGAACGAAGGGGTCGTGCACATTGGAGGAGGAGGGATTGCGGATGAGCAGGAGGATGACCAGGAGGAGGACCAGGAGGAGGACAAGGAGGAACAGCAGCAGCAGGAGCAGGAGTAGGAGGAGAGGCGGGGTGAGCAGGAGGACCAGTGGAAGACGGAGGAAGGGAACGGATCAGGGCGACAACGACGATGAAGGACTCGGATCCAGAAGTGTGGCCCCGCGGGAGCATTGTCCTGAAACGCCGCAAACGTTTTTTTTATATATATATATATATATATATAACTAACGAATCTCGGGAGCCATGAGACGGGGGTCAATGCAAACGGGGGTCAGCCAGAGCGCCAGATCCTGCAGGATCCTGCGAAGACCCCCTCTGGCTCACCCGGGTTAGCGAGCCGCTCGTGGCCGCGAGGCGGCCGCGCATGTTGGCTGACCCGGGTTTGCGAAGACCTGCGTTGCATTTTTTTTCCTGCATTGCAGTTTTTGGTTTCCTGCTGACCCGGGTCTGGATTGACCCGGGTCAAAAGATCCCCGACGAATATCTGATCAAACATCTCCTTTTGCCACCACACACGCTGAACAAAACAGAAAACGGTATGCGGGAGAAACGGGGCCCCTTCGGACAGGATCTGGCGGGAGAGGAGAGTAGTAGATCCACCACCCACCAAACCACGCCAACCCAACCCGAAGGCCCCAACTTGCCCTCCATTCCCAGCGGGGGGTGGGGGTCGGGGAACATTGGCAAACGCACATGTCGATCCCGTACCCCCCCCCCCAACACTAAATGCGGGTCTCTGGGTTAGGGGGTTGGGGCGGTCTGGTAGGCAGTCAACTATGGAGCAGGTGTACATCTCTCAGGCGATCGCGAACATGGATTAAGGGGGCGTGGATTGGCGACGGGTCCCGCTTCCATGGGAAATCCCGGATGTCCGCCACCGAACGAGGCGGCACCGGCCGCATTGGATTTGCCGACCGCGCGCCAAATCCATGGATCGCTAATCCATGTCTGCGCGCCCCCGAATCTCACCATCGCGGTGGCTTCGGCTGACCTGGCTGACGGTCTTCTACGCGCTGCGGGAGCTCGGGGCGGTGCGCAGGGGCCAGACGGTGCTGGTGCACTCGGCTGCTGGCGGCTGTGGCCTGCAGGCCATCGCGGTCTGCCTCAAGATGGGGGTCAGGGTCGTCGGCACCGTGGGGTCCGCCGCCAAGGTGCGGGCGTCCCGGGAGCGAATCGCACACGTGGGAGCTGGGCGTTGCGTAATGGGGGTGTCACAAATGGGGCTGTGGCGAGGGTGGTCCGGAAAGGTACCCAAACGGTACCTAAACGAGCCCCCTGGGGCTCCAGAGGGGCCCGAAAGGAGCACGAAATGGGGACCGTTTCTGACCCCCCCATTTGTGACACCCCCCTTAAGCCACGCCCAAAAAAGAGGATCAGAGGAGGAAGAGGTACCGATACATCCCTCGTCGCCACGGCTGGATGCGCCTCGAGATTCTGGTCCGAGCGCTCCCCAAGAGAGGTCTTGCGATTTGCGGTATCGGTATCTTTTGGTCCCCCCAGGGAGGAGTGTCAGACGGGCGTAGAATCGGCATAGATCGCACCAGAGCGTTCCAGAACGCTCTCAGAACCTCCCAGAACGCTCTGAAACGGCTGCGGCGTCCGATGTATCCTCCAAACCTGCCGATTCTCAGAGATTTACCATGCATGTCGGTCCGATTTTGTCGCGATTTCGCGCCTTCGTCTTTGGAGGAGAAGAAGGGGGAGGAGGTGGATGAGAACCAGGACCAGGAGGAGCAGGCGGCGGCAGCCGGGGCAGGAGGAGAAGGATGAGCAGGAGCAGCAGCAGGAGCAGCAGGAGAAGGTGGAGAGCTCGCGAGAGATGGAGGCGGAGGCCGAGGAGGGGGAGGACGAGGCCCGTGTCGATTCCTCGAGTCCGATTCGATTCGATGTCGAAGGCTTCCGATTCGAGTGCCAGTTTCCGCCGATCCTGTCTTCTCCTGGCTCGGCTGCGGATTTCCGCGCCGATCCAGTTTGGTCTTGGGCTCTCCTGGAGGAGGGTGAGACGAAGCGGGTGGATGAGCAGGAGCAGCAGGATGTTCTCTTCTTCCCCTCCTCCTCCTCTTCCTCCTCCTCCTCCTCCTCCTCCTCCTCCTCCTCATCATCATCATCATCATCATCATCATCATCATCATCATCATCATCATCATCATCATCATCATCATCATCATCATCATCATCATCATGGTCATCATCCTAATCCCCCTGCTGCTCCATTGCTTCATTACCTTAGAAGTCACCCCATACTGAACCGCACTGCTTTGCTACACCCGCAGTGGCACTGAACCACGCTGCCCTTCGTACGTGCACGGCCTCGATGACCCGAGACATACTTTAGTATTGAACCATCTTGCGTCCTCCTCCTCCTCCTCCTCCTCCTCCTCTCTCCTCTCTCCTCTCTCCTCTCTCCTCTCTCCTCTCTCCTCCTCCTCCTGTAGTGCTGAACCATGACACTGGTCTTGCGGTCGCCCTGGCAGTGGCCCTCTGAGCATCGCGCCACTGGCTTGCCTCTCGCGCCCCCCCCTCCGGGTTCCCGAGGGCCCCGGGGCCCCCGACGCAGTGGCACCTGCTGCCGGGGGAGCAACCGCAGCAAGGAGGAAGAGGAGGAGGAGGAGGTGAGGAGGAGGAGGAGGAGGAGGAGGAGGAGGAGGAGGAGGAGGAGGAGGAGGAGGAGGAGGAGGAGGGGGAGGAGGAGGAGCAGGAGCAGGCCCAGACCCCCGACGTCCTGCCTTTTCCGCAGCGCCAGCCCCCAGCGTTCTCGACCCATCACCCGGGGCCGGCTTGGCACCCCAAGCCGTGCTGCCCAGACCTCCTCGAGCAATGAAAAAATCATGACGGGATGTTTTTCCTGATTTTCGGCCTCGGGGGGCCCTCACCGGGCCTCGGGAGCGTCAAGAAACGACTCAGGATGCAAAGCCGGTCATGGGGAAAGGGTCCAGACCTCTGGGGGTCGACGTAATGAAAAAATCATTACGTCGGGGGTCTGGGTGTGGGAGACGGCCCCGAGGCCCGGCCAGGTCCCCCAGAGGCCGAAGGTAGCGAAACGCCCTCGGTCGTGATTTTCTCGCGACCCGAGGGGCTCCGGAGGCCCAGAGGAGGGGCGACGCACCGACACAAATCCAGACGGGGGTCTTTCGCAGCGTTCTGCCCCTATAGAGGGGCCGGCCCTCGCCGGGCCTCAGGGGCCGTCAAAGGAGCGGCTCGGGATGGCAAGCCGGTCCTGGGGCTTAAGGGGTCCCCAGACCTCCGACGTCATGATTTTTTCAGGACGTCGACCCCCAGAAGTCTGGACTCCTTCCCGGGGGCCGGTTTTTCGTCTTGGGCCGTTTTTTGACGGTCCCGAGGCCCGGTCAGGGCCCCTTAAGGGCGAAAGTCATGGGGAACCTCCCGTTTTTGACTTTTTCAGAGCAGTGGATCTCTGGGTCGAGACTCCCGGGGACGGCGCCTGGCACAAAACCACGGCGTCGGTCCTCCGGGGACCCAGACATCCGACGTCTCGATTTTTTCGAGACGCGGGCCCCCGACCTCCCGACCACTTCCCTGGGACCGGTTTTTCCTCCCGAGCCGTTTCTTGACGGTCCCGACGCCCGGCGAGGGCCCCGAGAGGCTAAAATCTATGAAGAACCTCTGTCTCGATTTTTTCGAGACGCCCGATGTCCGGGGAGGGGGCGGCGGCTCGGAGGTCCGGGCGGTGCTGGAGCGGTTCCCGAGCCTGGCGCCCCAGCAGCTGGTCGTGCGGGGGGCGGGCTTCGAGGGCGGGCTGCGCGCCGCCCTGCGCGCCGTCGGCGCGGAGGCTCTCCCCCGGGGGGGGAGGGGAGCGGGAGACGGAGGGGCGGCGTCAGGGGGGGGATGCAGGCCCGGGGAGGAGGATGGAGGAGGAGGAGGAGGAGGAGGAGGAGGAGGAGGAGGAGGAGGAGGAGGAGGAGGAGGAGGAGGGGGAGGGGGAGGGGGAGGACGGAGAGGAGGAGGAGGAGGAGGAGGAGGAGGGGGGGGGAGGAGGAGGAGGTGGAGAGAAAGGAGAAAAGTAAAAAGAAAAAAAACAACCTGAGAAGGAAAAAAGAAAAAAGAGGAGAAGATTCAGAGATTCAGATCTATCGCGTAGCGATACAAGGCACCTGTCTCCCCCTGAGCTTCCCGTGGAAGAAAGCGAGCAGGTAGACGGACGACGCGACCCAGAAGCGGAAGTCACTGAACGGGAAGTACGTGGAACGTCACCAAAACCGATACCACGAGCGAGTCCCTCACGCCAGCACCAGGAAGACCAGGATAACTGAAATTTCACTCCATCCCAAGACCACGCTTAGGTCGCACACTCGAACGGTTCCATTGAAAAAGAAATGGCGGCTCAGCCGAAACGGAGTCTGCTCGATACGGCCCACTACAATGGAAAGCACTGAGGAATAAGTACATCCCACTGGTCATCGGGCAACCTCAAACTCCCAACGCGCAGAATAGCGACGAAAGGCACCAAACTGAGATCGCATCCACCGCAGACGGCCTCGCAACCAGACCACTCGCAGGAACACTTATTAAGTAAATTTGAAGGCTGCAATACAATCTAGTTGTGGATACAGAAGCGGCTAGAGCTGCTGAGCCCCTGCAGAAGACGTCAGAGAAAGACGGTGAAGCAGAAATTGAATCGCCGCCGAAATCCCACGATTTACAATCATGCAGAGACCGTGAAATGCACGAGGAAGCAACCAATTGTAGACAACCTGATTGTGGATACCGAGGCACACTATAGCAGCAGGGCCCATACAGCAGACGGCTGAGAGATGAGGGTGAAGCAAAAGGACTGATATCACCGCCAAAACTCCACGATTTACAAACTGACATAGACCACCACTGCAACCACGGCGGGAAATGCTAGCCACACCAGGGCTCGTCCCGCAGACAGAGACTGAGCATCAAAACCATGGCGAACTTGAATGCATGAGGGAAGCCACCAACTGCAGACAATTCAGTCGGTGGGTACCGCAGCACTCGATAGCAGCTGAGCCCATATAGAAGACGCATGAGAAATAGACGGTGAAGCGGAATAGTTGACCTCGCCGCCAAGACTCCACGATGTACAGACTGACATAGACTACCACTGCACACCACGGCGGGGAATGCTAGCCACACCAGGGCTCGTCCCGCACGGCAGCCACGGCGGGGAATGCTAGCCACTCCGGGCTCATCCCGCACTGTAAGGATGCCGAGCTCGAAGAGCAGGTCTTCCACGAGAACGAACTGATTTGCCCAGATCTTGCCAACGCCTACCAGATAGAAGCCAACGAAAACCGCTGAACTCCAGTCGTGAGGCGTGCCCCTCAAGCGCCACGTGGAGGCACTGGGCGGGAGCTTCGAGCACAATAGAGCCAAAAGATGGTACTACGAGGCTCGGGCCCCTCGTGCTTGAGAAAAAAAATCAGAGTGAGGGGGCCGAACGGTCATTCATTGTCCCTGGGTGCGTGGCTGAAGTGAGATTCCGCGGTGCGGATTCGTGTTGTTGTTGTTGTTGTTGTTGTTGTTGTTGTTTGTTTGTTGTTGTTGTTTGTTGTTGTTGTTGTTGTTGTTGTTGTTTGTTGTCGTCGTCCCACCCGCAACCCGCCCCGCGACCCACCCGCGACCCACCCCGCGACCCACCCGTGACCCACCCGCGACCCACCCGCGACCCACCCGCGACCCACCCGCGACCCACCCCGCGACCCACCCCGCGACCCACCCTGCGACCCACCCTGCGACCCACCCGCGACCCACCCGCGACCCACCCGGCGACCCACCCCGCGGCCCACCCCGCGACCCACCCGCGACCCACCCCGCGACCCACCCCACGACCCACCCGCGACTCACCCCGCGACCCACCCGCGACCCACCTTCGACCCAAACCACGTTCAAGGTACAAACCAACATTTTCGGCGCCTGCGGCGGGCTTTTTTTGCATCCCTTCCAGGTGGAGAGCCCGCGACCCACCCCGCGATCAACTCGCGACCAACCCGCGACCCAAACCACGTTCAGGGTACAAACCACATTTTTCGGCGCCTGCGGCGGGCATCTTTTGAATCGTTCTAGGTGGAGAGACCGCGGCCCACCCGCGACCACGTTCAGGGTACAAACCAATTTTTTCGGCGCCTGCGGCGAGCATCTTTTGCATTCGTTCCCGGTGGAGAACCCGCGGCCCACCCGCGACCCAAACCACGTTCAGTGTACAAACCAATTTTTTCGGCGCCTGCGGCGGGCTGCTTTTGCAGGAGGACGAGGAGGGGGAGGAGGAGGAGGAGGAGGAGGAGGAGGAGGAGGAGCAGCAGGAGGAGGAGGAGGAGGAGCAGCAGGAGGAGGAGGAGGAGGAGGAGGAGGGGACGACGACGATGACGTCGACGACGACGACGACGAAAAGGAGGAGGGTGGAGGATCGGGAGGGGGGGAAGAGGAGGAGGACGACGAGGAGGAACATGACGACAATGGGAGGACGATGATGGAAGGACGAGGGGGGGAGAGGGAGGACGAGGAAGAAGCGGAGGAGGAGGAGAGGACGAGGTGGAGGAGGAGGACGACGATGACGATGAGAACGAGGACGAGGACGAGGAAGAGGAGGAGGAGTAGGAGGCGGAGGAGGAGGAGGAAGAGGAGGAGGAGGAGGAGGAAGAGGAGGAGGAGGAGGAGAGCGCCATCGACAAGGAAGGTGGGGGCCACGAGGTCCGCCGGCTTGACGACGCCCGCGTCGCCCGCGCCCGCCCCCTCACTCTTATCCGCAATTGCGGGGTGCTATACCATATGAAAAATAAGAAAAAAGAAGAAACAACAAACAAGGAAACACAATACATAAAACATAAGTAACAAAAAACAAAAAAAAGAAAAGCAAAACAATAATGAACAAACAAAAAGGAAACACAAAAAAAGAAAAACAAAGAAAAAGAAACACAACATAAAAAAAAAGAAAACAGAGAACAACAAGAAACACAAGAATAACAAAAAACAGGAGAAGAAGGAGAAGGAGGAGAAGGAGGAGAAGGAGGAGGAGGAGGAGGAGCAGCTCCTAGGAGGGAGGAGGAGGGAGGAGGAGGAGGGAGGCCTGGACGCCCTGGAGTCGCGAGCAGGGCATGCCGACGGGCGGCTCTGCGTTGGTGTCGGCTCCTGGGCGCCCTTCTCGGACCCCGGGGCCGTCAGAGGGCGACTCGGGATGGGAAGCCGGTCCTGTCGGGGGTGGGCAGACCTCCTACTCCAGATCTCGTAATAAAAGGGAGGGGGTCTGGACCCTCCAAGACAAGGCATTTCCGACCTCCCCCCGTGGGAGAACCCTCCAAAACATCGTCCCCAGACCCCCCAGGCCCTCCAAGATAGCCTGGAAGAGACCCCCCCCCCGAAATGAGACCCCCCTCCCTTTATTACGAAAGCTGGAGTACCCTGACACTTCGATTCAGGAATCGGCCGTCTTCGATTCATTACCCTTCTCGGAAGCCTTCCCCCCTTCCCCTACCCCCCTCTGCGCGCCGCCAAATGTCGGGGGTGGGCGGACCTCCTACCCTGACACTTCGAGTAAGGAATCGGCCGTCTTCGGTTCGCGAGAGGGCGTCGCGGCCATCGTTTTTGCGGGTTCAGGCCCGTCGGTTTCTCGGTCCCAGGCCGCTTTCACCAAGGAGAGGTTTACGTTTACTAAAGGGAGGTTTGTCCACCGCCGAAGGGGCGGCGTTAGGGTTAAGTCGGGCCTGTCCCATTACACGGGGAATGTTCAAAAATAGTTAAAATCATAGTCTGGGGACGATTTTTGAACATTTTCTGACCCTTTTTGAGCATGTTTGGGATATCTCTTATTTCTCGTAGAAAATTGCCCTGTAGGGGGACACGCCCGATGTAACGTTAGGGGGGGATGCAGGCCCGGGAATGGGCGGCGTTGACGCAGGCCCGGGGAGGAGGAGGAGGAGGAGGAGGAGGAGGAGGAGGAGGAGGAGGAGGAGGAGGAGGGGGACCCAGACCCCCTCGAGTCATGAAAAAATCACGACGGGAGCCGTTTCGCTATTTTCGGCCTCTGGGGGCCCCTACCGGGCCTCGTGGCTGTCAAAAAACGACTCAGGATGAACAACTGGTCTCGGGGAGTGGGTCCAAACCGCTGGGGGTCGACGTCCTGAAAAAATCACGACGTCGGGGGTCTGGGGAGGACGAGGAGGAGGAGGAGGAGGAGGAGGAGGAGGAGGAGGAGGACGAGGAGGAGGAGGAGGAGGAGGAGCAGGAGGAGCAGGAACAGGAGGAGGAGGAGGAGGAGGAGGAGGAGGAGGAGGAGGAGGAGAAGGACCTCCTCGCGTCGCGGAGAACTCACGACGGGAGGCTTTTCACGGTGTTCGGCCGCCTGGGCCCCCTTGCTGGGCCCCGGGGCCGTCAGAAAACGACTCGCAGAACAAAAGACCGGTCCCGGGAAAACTTCTCTCGTTGGTTTCGGCTTCTGGGCGCCTTTCTCGGGCCCCGGGGCCGTCAAAAAGCGACTCGGGATGGAAAGCCCGTCCTGGGGAATGGCCCGAGCGCCCTTGGGGCCGACGTTATGAGAGAATCATGCCGACTGGCGGCTTTTCGTTGCTTTCGGCTTCTGGGTGCCTCTCTCGGGCCCCGGGGCCGTCAAAAAGCGACTCGGGACGGAAAGCCCGTCCTGGGGAATGGCTCGAGACCTCCGGGGGGCCGACGTGATGAGAGAGTCATGCCGTCGGGGGTCTGGGTAAGAGGAGCGGCCATGTTGGGATGGGATACAGGCTCGGGGAGGGGGGGGGAGGGCTCGAGCTCAGAGGTTGGAGATGTTCGGGCGTTCGCCTGGGGTCTCGGCGGTGTTCCTGCCTCCAGGTGCTCTCCAGCAGCTGCGCCTGGCCGAGGGCGATCTGGGCGCGCCCGGATCGTCCCGAACGGCCGCCGGATACACGAGCTATGGCCCGAAAGCCATCAGGGACGGTTTCATCAGGCTCAGGGGGGGAGGGGGCTCTTGCGTCTCCCTCCTCCTCCTCCGCCTCCTCCTCCTTCTCCTCCTCCTCCTCATCTTCATCCTCCTCCTCCTCCTCCTCCTCCTCCTCCTCCTCCTCCTCCTCCTCCTCCTCCTCTTCCTCCGTCTCCTCTTACTCCTCCTCATCCTCATTCCTCCTCCTCCTCATCCACGTTATGTTTCTGCACCCTGCTGTCCCCTCCCTCCCTGCTTACAGAGAGAACCCCTCCCCGTTGCGCCACCAGGCATGTCGGAAGGGCGGCCCGTACGTTTCGCCAGAGACTTCCTCCCCATTTATGCTCTTGAAGTTCGAAGATTAACACTTCAACCCTCTCACAGGATGGGGGCGTTTCTTTTTTCGAAATGTGGCGCTCGCCTAGACGTCGTACAAGTTCGTTCCAAACCTTGTAACTAGTAACCATGGCAAGGGTGAGAGACGTCCGTCTGCAAATGGGTCTCTCTTTTTCTCTATATGTATGTCTCTGTCTGTCTGTCTCTCCCTCTCTCTCTCTCTCTCTCTCTTCCGTCTCCCTCTTGAGATTTCTGGCGTGTCACAGCCAGAAGTTTGCAGTATATTGATGACGGTTTTTTTTTCAACGTGGGACTTTGACTTTCGCGTGGGACGTCCTCCCTCCTGTGACCAGAAGTGTAATACAAGGACGGGGGTGGTTCCTTTTGAAAGCGGGTCTGTCGCTGGATGTTTTGATAAACTTCGTGGTGCTCCGAATTTCATTGTTCAAGGGGGGTCTGATTTTCGACCGCAGCTGACTCGAATCGTCTCGCAGGCTTCTGGGCTGTCTAGGCAAACATTCGCCCTTTCATGGCTGGTCCCGGGGGGTCTACACTTGCTCGTCTGGGACCCTAGGGGACCCCGGCAAGACCAGCCAAAGGTAGAAGAGAGCGAGAATCGCCCCGATCACTTGCGACAGGACGTCCCGATCGAGACTTCTTTCTCTCTCAAGCTAAACTCATGCTCGTCTGGGAGAGGTGTCACCCCCCCACACCTTTCTTACGCAAGTCGGGGCACCATCCCGCGTTTTGTCTCACGCGCTATACAGTGAGCGGTTTGACTAGACAGCACGTGCTTTTCAAAAAGGGGCTCGGTCGTCCCTCAGGCTTGCATGCGTTATCTATCGTCCCTTCTGCTTTATGGATTAGGTTTCGTTCCGTCCGCGTTTCTCCTTGGAAAAATGTGGCTTCGTTCCTTTTGTATAGTTCTTGAGGTCAGGCCGATGACTGCACAGGAGGAAGTCGTGCAGCGCCTTTCCCCACCCAACAAAAATACAAGGCGCTCGCCCGCTTCTGGCAGGCCCGCGCGACGCTCTCGAGGTTCAGGAGGGCTCCCGCTTCCCGGCAGCGAGAGAGGAAAGGAAGGCATGTTCAGGGTTAAGTCGGGCGTGCCCCCCAGCAGGATAAATATTCATACATAGTCAAAAAAAATAGTCTGGGGGACGATTGTCCGACTATTTCTGATTCTGTTTAAATATTTGTCTGACTATGTCTCATTTGCTCCTTGCAAATTCGCCTGTAGGAGGCCACACCCGACCGAAGTTTAGGGGCCCGAGGGGGCGGGGGGGGGACCTTGGGACGAGAGGCTGCCCTGCAGCATTTCAGAGCGTGAATTACCTACCCCGCTTTCGCTTCCAGGAAAAACCAAGGCATACCACGCGCCTCCTCGTCAAGCGGCCTGACCAGTACAGGCCGTAGTTTGGCATCGCTTGGTATCCCCTGGAAGCGAGGGTGGTCAAAAGCGAGGTAGGTTTGTTTTCCCCTAAGCATTGCCGATGCCTCCTGGGCTTCTCCTGGTCCGCTCCCTCCTCCCCGTCGGCCTCGTCCTCCTCCGCCTCCGCGCCCCCCCTCGGCCGCTGGGGCCCCCTTTGTGCCCACCTCGGCAGCCCGTGGTGTGCTGGGCCAGCGGGAGCGGTTGTTCCCGTCAGCCTGCCGAGCCTTCCGAGCCTCATCCCCAGACCCCCGACGTCATGATTACTCCAGATTTCGTAATAAAGGGAGGGGGGTCTCATTTTGGGGGGGGGTCTCTTCCAGGCTATCTTGGAGGGCCTGGGGGGGTCTGGGGACGATGTTTTGGAGGGTTCTCCCACGGGGGGGGTTCTGAAATGGCTTGTCTTGGAGGGTCCAGACCCCCTCCCTTTTATTACGAGATCTGGAGTACTCGACTTTTTCACAACGTCGAACCCCCTGAGATCTCGACCCATTCCCTGGGACCCGCTTCTCATCCTGAGTGGTGTTTTGACGGCCCCGAGGCCCGATACAGCCCCTGGAGGCCGCAGATAGCGAAACATTGTCCGTCGTGATTTGTGCTGGGATTCGCGGGCGTCCGGGGTCCGATGAGGGCTTCAACGTGGTGCTGGACGCGGTGCTCGGCGAGTATTTCCAGCCTGGCTGGCGCTGCCTGGCGCAGGGCGGCCGCTACGTGGTGTACGGCGCGGCTTCGATGACGCCGCAGGCCGACAAATTGGGAGTGCTGCAGTGGCTGAGGCTGGCCTAGCAACTGCTGAGGAGGAGCAGTAGCAGAAGAAGGAGGAATACGTCTTGGACCCGACCACCCCCTCGTGCAGGGGGTTAGTGCCCCTTTACTGCCGAGGCCATCGCTTTGGAAGAAGCTGTGGAGCTGATATGGGAGATTCTGAGAACGTGTGGATCTGATAGGAGAGATTCTGAGAACGTAATGGTCCTGTGACATTTCTCGCAACCTCAGAAAGAGCGTGTTCTACCGCTGCTGGCGGAAAACCGGGGGGGGTCACTTCGGTTCGAACCCCTCCCCCCCCCCCCCTCTGGAAAACCGGGGGGGGTCACTACCGGTTCGAACCCCTCCCCCCCCCCCCAGTTCATCATGAAAAGGGGGGGGTCACTACCGGTTCGAACCCCCCCCCCCCTCGAAAACCGGGGGGGGTCACTACCGGTTCGAACCCCCCCCCCCCTCGAAAACCGAGTGGGGGTGCGGACAGTGGTGGGGACGGTGTTGGTGGGGACAGTGGTGAGGGGATAGCGGGACAGTGGTGGGGACAGTGGGACAGTGGGACAGTGGTGGGGACGGTAGTGGTGGGGACAGGACAATGGTGGGAACAGGGGGGACAGTGGACAGTGGTGGGGACGGTGGTGGTGGGGACAGTGGTGTGGGGACAGTGGGAATGAGGTGGAAACAGTGGGACAGTGGAGGGTACAATGGTGGTGGGGACAGTGGTGAAGGCGGTGGCGAGGACGGCGGTGGGACAATGGGACAGAGGTACAGTGGGGACAGTGGTGGGGACAGTGGGGACAGTGGTGGGAACAGTGGGACAGCTCAATGGGACAGCGGAGGAGTCAGTGGGACAGTGGGGATAGTCGGGCAGTGGTTGGGGCCGTGGAGACAGTGGGGAGAGTGGAACCGTGGTGGGAACAGTGGTGGGGACAGTGGGGACAGTGCGACAGTGGTGGGGGCACTGGTGGAGACAGTAGGGACGGTGGTGGAACCAGCGGGAACAGTGGTGGTGAGGACAGTGGCGCTGGGAACAACAGTGGGGGATGTGATGCGGACGGTGGTAGGGACCGGGAGTCGTTTGCTGGCGGTGCGTGGGGGGGGGTCGAACCGGTTGTGACCCCCCTCCGGTTTTCGAGGGGCGGGGGGGGGTTCGAACCGTAGTGACCCCCCCGGTTTTCCGGATCCGAAAGGGGGGGGGGGGGGGTTCGAACTGGTAGTGACCCCCCCCGGTTTTCGTGGGGGGTTTGCCGGGGTTTGGGGGGGGGGTCCAGCAGAGGGGGGGGGGGATTTTCGGAGTCGGAGGGGTGGGGGGGGCGACCCCCGGGTTCTGGAGGAAAAGGTTGGCAATTTTCCACAGTAAAGCGGCGGTGGATCACGCTCTCTCCAACCTCACAAAGTCATGAACAGGCCTGTACCATCGCCCTTCATGGCTCTGGAAAGAGAAGCAGGATAAGGAGGAAGTCGGAGAGGAGGAGGACGACGATCGAGGCTGGCGTGGCAGTGGTTGAGGAGGCCTTGGGTGGACCCCCTGCAGCTCCCGACGGACAACAAGAGCGTCATGGGCTTCAACCTCATCTATTCAACGGCATGTGCCAGCCCGCCAGTCACGACAGCGAGCTGACCCCCTCGCCCACCACCCCCAAACGGGATCTCGGACCCAAAGGGTCGTCGTCAACGCATTCAGTATAAAAGCAGGTTGCTCAGTCACTGGGAACACTGAAGCGCGTAGCGTTGCGTCGCGGTGCGTGGCCCAGCGCTGTGACATACATACAGGCTCTGTTGACACCTTGACACCCTACGCCCACGACGCTGACATAAGCACTGCTGTGGGTTCACGCGGTGCCCTGGTGTTTCGGGCCGCTCCTGACAGCTAGTTATGTGGCCAACTTGGGGAAGTGTAGAATGTCTTCGAAGTGCTTTTTTGAAGATAGCGGCACTTAGCGGCACGAACGTTTGCGGCCCCGATGGGGCCGGCGGTCTCACTCGCGCGCCCGTGGTGTCACGGAGGTCGGCGACCCCGAGCCCTGATTTACATGCCCGTGTCCCAGATGGGGCTACGCGGCCACGAGTTGCCACTGAATGGTAATTCTCGGAACTGCTAACGGCCACTAAATGCCACTAAAAGGTAATTTTCGTAACCGCTAACGGACTCTAAGTGCCACTGAATGGTAGATCTCGGGCTGCTAAGTACCTAAATGGTATTGAAATCTCGGAGCCACTAACGGCCATTAAGTGCCACTGAATGGTTATTCTCGGAGCCACTAGCGGCCACCACGTGCCACCAAATGGTACTCCTGGGAGCCAGTAGCGGCCGCCAGGGGCCACCAGGTGGTACTTCTCGGGGCCGCTACAGGCCACTGGGTGCCACTAAGTGCCACTACACGGCCGCTGCACGGCCGCCACGGCCACGAACTGCCACTGGATGGTACTTCTCGGCGGTCGCGACGGTCCGTCCGAAGTTCCCCAGAGCGCCCACGCGAAGCCAGACTGGGAAACCTGCTCGTGGCCAGAGGCGCCCCCGCGGCCCTTCGGCGCCCCCCCGCCGCCGCAGACGGGGTTGTCGCGTCGACGCGACGACGACGACGACGACGCCGACGTCGACGACGCCGACGACGACGACGACGACGACGACGACGACGACGACGACGACGACGACGGCGGCGGCGGCGGCGGCGGCGACGACGACGACGACGACGACGACGACGGCGGAGACCACGACGCCACCGACGACGACGCCGACGCCGACGCCGACGGGGGGAGAGAAGCAGGGCGGGGTCGGCCCCAGGGGGTTTCTCGAAGACCGGCCCGTGGATGCCGAGCCGGTCGTGGGACCCCCCCCCATCTTCCTGCAGGACCTGCTCCTAAGCCAGGCCCGTCCCTCTACGGGAAGGATATGCCAAAATAGTACATCAACATCCGGAGACGATTTTTTAGCATCTTTGGCCATCTGGGGGCATTGTTTGTTATGTACCTATGAGCGAAGACTGATAGGTTTCTGATAGGGTCAAAAGGCATCATGACTCCCCAGGGGGGTCTGGGCGGCATCCGCAGAGGGATCCGCGAAAGTCGTTTTAAGCAAAGAGTTACACACTTCGTGGTCTTCGAGGTCCCAGAACTCCATTCCCAGGCCACATTCTGAATGCCCGGAGCCAACTGTAGGCCACTTCATGCTCTTCGAGTTCCCAGAACTCCATTCCCGGGCCACATTTTGAATGCCCGGAGCCAACTGTAGGCCACTTTGTGCTCTGCGAGTTCCCAGAACTCCATTCCCGGGCCACACTTTGAATGCCCGGAGCCAACTGTAGGCCACTTCGTGGTGTTCGAGTTCCCAAAACTCCACTCCTGGGCATGATTTTGAATGCCTGGAGCGAACTGTAGGCCCCTTCGTGTTCTTCGAGTTCCCAGAACTTTATTCCCGGGCCACATTTTGAATGCTGAGGCAGGCTGATGCTGAGGCTGAGGCAGGCTGAGGCTGAGGCAGGCTGAGGCTGAGGCCGAGGCTGAAGGCAGACTGAGGCTGAGGCTGAAGCAGGCTGAGGCTGAGGCTGAGGCAGGCGAGGCTGAGGCTGAGGCAGGCTGATGCTGAGGCAGGCTGGCTGAGGCTGAGGCTGATGCAGGCTGAGGCTGAGGCAGGCTGAGGCTGAGGCCGAGGCTGAAGGCAGACTCAGGCTGAGGCTGAAGGCTGAGGCTGAGGCTGAGGCTGAGGCTGAGGCAGGCTGAGGCTGAGGCTGAGGCAGGCTGAGGCTGAGGCTGAGGCCTGAGGCTGAGGCTGAGGCTGAGAGCTGATGGCTGATGATGAGGGGCTGATGTGAGGCCGAGGCTGAGGCCGAGGCTGAGCAGATGAGGTGAGGCTGCAGCTGGCTGAGGCTGAGGCTGAGCAGGCCCTGAGGCGTGGATTTGAGCAGGCTGATGTTGCTGAGGCACAGGCTGAGGCTGAGGGCTGAGGCTGATGCTGTGCTGATGCTGATGCCTGGTGAGTCTGAGGCAGGCTCGAATTCAGGCCGAGGCTGAAGGCAGATTGAGGCTGAGGCTGAAGCAGGCTGAGGCTGAGGCAGAGGCAGGCTGAGGCTGAGGCTGAGGCAGGTTGATGCTGAGGCAGGCTGAGGCTGAGGCTGAGGCTGATACAGGCTGAGGCTGAGGCAGCCTGAGGCTGAGGATGAGGCTAAAGGGAGACTGAGGCTGAGGCTGAGGCAGGCTCAGGCTGAGGCTGAGGCTGAGGCAGGCTGATGCTGAGGCAGGCTGAGGCTGAGGCTGAGGCTCATGCAGGCTGAGGCTGAGGCAGGCGGAGGCTGAGGCCGAGGCTGATGCAGACTGAGGCTGAGGCTGAAGCAGGCTGAGGCTGAGGCTGATGCAGGCTGAGGCTGAGGCTGATGCAGGCTATGATGAGACAGGCTGTGGTGAGGGCTGAGCTGATGCAGGCTGAGGCTGCGGCAGGTGTGGCTGAGGGGAGGTGAAGGCAGGCGGAGGCTAGAGGTGAAGGCAGCTGAGGCTGATGGTGAGGCCAGGCTGAGGCTGAGGCTGAAGGCAGACTGAGGCTGAGGCTGAGGCAGGCTGAGGCTGAGGGCTGAGGCAGGCTGAGGCTGAAGCAGGCTGAGGCTGAGGCTGAGGCTGAGGCAGGCTCAGGCTGAGGCAGGCTGAGGCTGAGGCCGAGGCTGAAGGCAGACTGAGGCTGAGGCTGAAGCAGGCTGAGGCTGAGGCTGAGGCAGGCTGACGCTGAGGCAGGCTGAGGCTGAGGCTGAGGCTGATGCAGGCAGAGGCTGAGGCAGGCTGAGGCTGAGGCCGAGGCGAAGGCAGACTGAGGCTGAGGCTGAGGCAGGCTGAGGCTGAGGCTGAGGCAGGCTGAGGCTGAGGCAGGCTGAGGCTGAGGCTGAGGCTGATGCAGGCTGAGGCTGAGGCAGGCTGAGGCTGAGGCCGAGGCTGAAGGCAGACTGAGGCTGAGGCTGAAGCTGGCTGAGGCTGAGGCTGAGGCAGGCTGAGGCTGAGGCAGGCTGAGGCTGAGGCTGAGGCTGATGCAGGCTGAGGCTGAGGCAGGCTGAGGCTGAGGCCGAGGCTGAAGGCAGACTGAGGCTGAGGCTGAAGCAGGCTGAGGCTGAGGCTGAGGCAGGCTGAGGCTGAGGCAGGCTGAGGCTGAGGCTGAGGCAGGCTGAGGCTGAGGCTGTGACTGCGACTGCCGTTGCCACTGCGACTGTCATCGCGAATGCGACTACGACTGCGAGAACAGCAGAATTCTACAACTGGATTCTCATCTGAATCTTAAGGGGAATGCTTCCAGATATGCTCCTACACATCGCTGTTAGGTTGCTTTGCCAGGATATTTGTTTTTAAATTTTTCATTCAAAATCCGCCTCTAGGGAGACATGCCCAACCTAAACGTGCTTCCTTCATGCCGGTCGAACATGGACTCGGACCCCCCTGGAGCGGACGGGTGAGGCTGGATCGGACCATTGCCTGACTCCGGTTCCGCCGTGCTTTGGGCGGAAATTCCCGTCCTAATTTTCGAGCTCCTTGATGTCGACGTCCGCCCTGCATGCCCTTGCGGAAATGTCCGCCCTGCTTTTCCGAGACGGCTTTCTGTCCGCCTCCCGTGGTGTGTGTGTGTGTGTGTGTCTGTGTGTGTGTGCGCGTGTCCGACACAGTGTGGAGTCGGAGAGCCAGCCACAGCACGGCGGACCCGGCGTCTGGGGAGGCTCCGATGCATGGTCAGATGCGGCCCGATCCGGCTCCGTGCCCGCTCCGTGCTGCCACTCGCCCTCCAGCGTGCTGGCGAAGGCCTCCCAGGAGTTCCCCCCCACTGATGGGGTGCCGCGCGCCTCGTCGCTCCGGGGCACGGCGGGCTGCTTCAACGACGCCGAGCGCATGGCGGCCCTGCTGGACGAGCTGCTGGGCCTCGGCCTCCCCCCGCCGCTCGTGGGCCACAGGTTCGCTTTCGGCGAGGCGGTCGAGGCGCTCAGGACGCTCCAGGCCGGGGCCACCACGGGGAAGGTCCGGGGGCCCCCAAACCGGGCGGCGAGCACGCCGTGCGGTGAGTCGGTGCGGTGGGGATGCGGGGTCAACGCACGGTTGTGGGACTCGAGGCCCTCTCCGAGGACGTCTCGGGCGACAGGGGCCTCCGGGGCCCCACGGACCGCGCGGTGGCGGAGACGGTGCGGTGAGGTCTCGGGGGGATTTCGAGCCCACCGCGCGGTCTGTCGCCGCACGGTTCCGGGACTCCAGGAAGGTGGTGCTGCTGGCGGAGTGACGCGGCGCGGGGGGCGTGCGCGAGAGTCTGGAGGCGCACACTGTGGGGGCCCAGGCCGAGAGGCAGGCTGCGTGCCACCAGGGTGCCCTGGGTTCCTCTCAAGGCTTCGATGCCTTTGTGCTGTGGCAGGCGTGCCGTGCCCCCCCCGCAAAAGAATCGATGGGCGCCCTCGGGGGTCTCGGGGTCGGGTTTCGCGTGGAAGGTTCCTTGTGGACTGGCCTCCAAGAAGAACAAACAAACACATAAACACAAACTTTTCGCGCTCCGCGCGGATTTCTTGGATCCGCGCTGGACCCCCCTCCCTGGCGCGCGGAGCGCGCCAGGGGCGACGCCGGAGGCGCCGCCAGGGGGGCCCAGGCGCGGATCCAAGAGATCCGCGCGGA